CTAAAACTTCATTACCTTGTAGCCAGTCTCTTGATGAGCCTCTCTGATTTTGGCTAGGTTGGATTACTGGACTTCCACTGGGCCAGAATCAAAAATTCTACTAACATTAGGGTTAAAATTCTAGGTTTGAAGATTACTTGCAAAAAGCAATAAAGAGTATTATAAAAACAGGAGAGATTACCAAGAAAGAAAGGAGAAGACAGGATAGAGTTTTGGGGAACATCATATTGAAGACAAGGGAGATGGAAGGAAGAGTAAGAGAGAGTACAAAGAAGAGTTAGAATGCTATCACAGAAGCCAAGGGAAGAAAAAATATCTAAGAGAGGTTGGATATCAGGAAAAAAACACTGTAGAGAAATCAAGAGGGCTAAAAATAAATCCACTAGATTTGGGGATAGGAAGTTCATTAGAAACCTTGAAGAAAGCAGCTTCAGGGGAGTTGTAGGGATAGATGTTAGATTATAAGGGGATGATATAGAAAGAATGAGTGGGGACTAACTGGTCTTTCTATAAGTTTCTGTAAGTAATGGGGATGGCTCTATCTATATTTTCACATCTTTCTTGAAATTTCTATGTTCATATCTATATGTCTTTCTGGACTTGTTATTGGTGCAAGTAACTCCCAGTGAAGAAATGCTCTCTTACCATGTAGAACAGCAACTGACCTAAAACCTACAATATTAGCTACCTGGAAATGAGAGATTAAGTGACTTGCCCAGAGTCACACAGCCAGTATGTGTCAGAGGCAGGACTTCAACCTAGATCTTCCTGAGACCACGGAAGGCTCTTTAATCACTATGCGGAAGCTAGGTGGTACAGTGGATAGAACACTGGCTCTGGAGTCAGGAGGACCTGAGTACAAATGCAGTCTCAGAAACTTACCAGATGTGTGACTTTGGGCAAGTCACTTAACCCTGATTGCCTTTCACAAAAAAATCAGTAGGCCATGATGCCTGTTATTATATTTTTAAAACTTACATTATGGCCATCTTTATCAGTAACATGCTTTTATATCCAACTAGAACTAAGCTTTCATAGGACAATGACTGCATCATACATGTCTTCTCATTTCTCACAGGACTTTGCACATAATGAAGGTTCAATGGTTTGATTGATATCATACAGCAATATTTTAAATCATCAAATTTCACTTAAACATGGGATTCAGGGCATTTTTCAAATAGAATGGTCATCTGTAGCTAAGATACCAAGGAAAGAACAGCAGCAAGAAGTGAAGCAAGGGTTACATTTGAACAATGGGATAGAATATATCTCCAAAGTATTACCACACTTACTGTTTGTACGTAACTCCTATGCAAATAAAACTATAATAAAATGTATAATGATTTCTTTGCTTCTCAAGAAACAAACCCAAACAACGAATAGGCTCTCTAATTCCCATAGCTTCTTAAGGCAGTATTTAAAGCAGGAAAATTAAAAAAAAAAGGCTAGCTCACACAAATTAGAATTTTATACACTTTTTTCCTCATTAGATATATACTTAGAAAGTTTCAAAAATATTTTATTCCATTACATGGAATAGTTATTTACTTCTAAATCTACTATGTAGATTTAGAAAGGATGAAAAGAAATGGGCTTAATTATTTATTACGTACCTACTATGTGCCACACACTATGCTAAGCACTTTACAAGTAGTGTCTCATGTGATCCTCACAACAACCGTGCAAGGTAGGTGCTATTATCTCCACTTTATAGTTGAAGAAACTGAGGCAAACAGAAGTTAAGGGATTTGCCCAGGGTCACAAAGCTAGTAAGTATCTGAGGCCCATCTGAACTCAGGTCTTTCTGACTATAGATCCCATGCTCTGTCTACTGTGTTTGTGGAGGATCTAAATGCTAGGCAAAGGAAATTGTAAATTATCTTACTAAAAACAGGGAGTGACTTGAGTGGGAATGACATAGATTTGTGTATTCTCAAATGTTTTGTGAAGAAGGATGTATTGGAGAAAGGGGATACCAGAGGCAGGGAGACCAAGTAGGGTGGCACTAACTAAAAAGGTGATAAAGGAATGAACCAAGGTGATGGTAAATGAGAGTGGAGAGGGATACTGTGAAGACAGATAGGGCCAGAGGAACAAGGAAGGGTCAGAGATGGCTTTGAATCTGGAGGGCTGGGAAGATGGTGGCCATCACTAATAGAAATAGGTGAATTGATAGAAGGGGTAGTTATTTATTTATTTTTTAGTTTGATACTATGGTAGAACATTCAGATGGGGAAAGTTGGAAGGCAACTAGAAATGGGGGACCAGTGCTCAGGGTAGCAGAGACATCTAGACAGAGGTAACTGAAACAATGGGAGAAAGGAAGATCATTAAAGAAGAGATGATCGACACAGAAGAGGGCAATGGACAGAGATTCAGGAGGACACCCATATTTTAGAAAGGGATGAGAAAAACAAACCAATGAAAGAGAATGACGCCTGGCCAGAACAAGAGGGAAATCCCCCCCCCCAATACTATTGTCTTAGAAGCCAAATGAAGAATTCCCAGGAGTGCTGGGGTAGTCAACAGTGTTAAATGCAGCAAAAAGTTGGTGGATGAGGTCTGAGAAAAGGCTATTGATAAAACTGTTTATATGCAGTGATAGAGTTGAAAACCATTATTATATGGTTTCAGAGATCATAGAATTAGAGCTAGAATGGACCTTAGAAATCAGCAAATCCAATCTTCTCATTTTACAGATGAGGAAACTGGCACAAGAGTGACTTGTCCAGGGGTCCATTCAATTAGGAAGTGAATTTTAGGTTTTCTTTTCTCCAAGTTCAGTACTCTATCCACTACTTTAACTAGAGATGCCTCTCTGTTCCAGCCATAAATGGATGAAGGATAAATGGATGGTAGATGATAGTTTTATTATAAGGCAGGGTCACAGAAAAGTGGTTTTTTTTCCCTCCCCAAGTATAGAGGAAAGAAGAACAAGTCTATTGGTGGTAGAAAAAGAGTAAGTAGAAGAGAAACTGAAGGAGAGGAAGAGTGGGAATGATTAGCAAAACAAGTTTTGCCTTCATTATCTGACAGCTGTTAGAACTGTCCGGACATCTCACATAAAAGTGGGTTTTTCTGGCTTTTCTTTGATAAGTGTTTTAATTTTCTATTTTAATTTTTGTACCTATTAAGAGTTATAACAATGTAAGGACTTTAAGATTTACTAAGCCCTTGTACCTGTGAGGTAGGGGGCATGCTAGTATGATGAGCCTATGTTTTTGGAGGAAGGAACTGAGGCTCAAAAAGGTTATGTGACTTGCTGTGGTGAAGGGGGTCTCCTGGGTCTGTATGTCCAACACCTTCCACAAGTATGCCTCGCTTTCTGTCATCATCAGGTTTTTGGAGAGAGGCAAAAATGCATGGGGAGAACCAGTGTTGATGTCTTGTAGACCCCAAAAAACATTTTCATGATATGAAGCCTGGTGATATCCTTTCCCAGAGTGAGGAAAAGAGAAACACAACTGCTTTCAATTTAGCTAATCCAGAACAACTGAGTGAGTGATCTAAAGCCTACTGCTGCACATGCAGCTACTTCAAAGTCCTTTTTGAATCCCAAAGTGCACACTTGTCAAAAAATCCATTTCTGTTAGAAATGCTATCTAGATATTGTAGAGAAAGTTCAACAGGTGAATTTCACTAAAGAAGGGAATACTTATCTACATTTTCTGCAGTTCATTCACCATTATAAAGCACAAATACAAAAAGGTGAAAACTATGATTACAAAGTGAGATAGAGTACTGGGAGGACCTTCTAGATAATTCAGCCCAAAGGGATACTTTCACTTACGTAACTTTAATTTTATTTGTCTTGGCAGATGAATCTGTACACTTTCTTATGACAAAAATAGTAATAATGCCAACATACACCTATATAGTACTATACAGTTTACACAGTGCTTTCTTCATGACCATCTGTGAAGGAAGTAGTGGGGGTAATATTATTTCCATTCTACAGATAAGGAAACTGAACCTCAAAGAGTTGAAGTGACTTGTCCACACTCACAGAGCCAGGATTCAAATTTGATAGCACAGAGGCTAGGGTGAGTGAAAATCTATTATGTTTTTCTATTTCACTAAACCTCTGTTCTATCTGAATTCTAAGGGTCTTATTTTGCAGTTTAAAATGGAAAGCCATCTCGAATCTCCTCAGAAGTAGACTGCTTTATACTCTTATCATAGGACCACAGATTTAGAACAAGATCTTAGAGCACATCTAATTCAATGTGGCCATTATAAAGATGAAAAAAAGGAAGACCCAGAGAGGTTAAGCCACTACATAAGTAGAAAGTTGAAAAGACAGGATCTAAATACATGTCCTCAGAGTCTAAATCTAAGAACTTTTCCCACTGTGCAATGCTGTTTCTCTTGAATAAATAAATTACCGGGCAGATAACATGAAATAATATTTTAATAATTATGAAATAATTCTAAAAAATAACTGAGAAATGACAAAGTTTGGGGCTTGACTCTTCTGGATTCTCCACTCTGGATTTCCCACTTAGGGAAATAGTGTACCTACTATATTCCTGGAGTCAAAGTGAGAACTTATCCCTCAAGTAAAGTTGTGTGTAAATGTCAGCTATTAGCTTGGCCAGTTCAGCCTGCAGGCAATTATATAGCAAACCCAAATCTGATTAGAATTTCTCATAAAATGAGAACCAAAGAACAGATCAAAGTTAACTCAGGTGACTTCCTTACTGAAAGGTATAAATGAGACCTAATCATTCTAATCCATCGTGGAGCTGCCCCCTCCTCCCAATTAAGTGGTATAAACAACAAACAAATAAATAGCTTCCTCTAGCTATCTTTTATAGAAGCTAAAAATATATATGTACCATGGTTGTAATTTAACACCAAACCTAAATGTCTTTTCACTGTGTAGTGTCAAATCTGATCCTTCAACATTCCAGGAAGCTGAATTTACAGAAATTGTGAGAGTAAATAATACATTTTTTTTAATAAGGCAGAAACAAAAAAAGGGGGGGAGGCCTTACCTTGCAGCCTTCACATGTAATGACACCATAATGGATTCCTGATGATTTGTCTCCACAGATCTTGCATGGAATAATTTCAATTTGAGCTGCAACAAAAGCACGAAACCAGTTAATTACATTTTCTTTTAAACACCTTATAAAAGCGTTCCCTGATCAGCATTTGTATAGTGAAAACTAATAACCTGCTAAACATTATACTGCATTAACTATTCATTGCTGAACTGTGAGGGTCCCCCTAGAGCCTTGGACTAAATTATGGCTGCTTGTTACATAATAGCTTTCGGGTTATTAAAATGGGTCATTTGAGAAGGTGTTTAAGAACCCACAAGAAGGCTAGAATCAGCATTTCAAAGCCTTAAAGAACTGGAGAGTTCGCATTTTAGGCCTCAGAGCTAAACAGATACTAAACTGTTTCCTCCCATCTCATTCTCCCACCATTATTTTTAAAAAGTCATAAATCTGTCTTGGCTGAGAGTCACATTTATGTAGCTGGAGGAAAATGCATTTTGCAAAAGTCATGTCAACTTAGGAAATGTTATAAACCAATTCAGATGATTAATAAGATACATATGACTGAGTTAAGAATCCCCCAATTCATTTTTCCTTCTGATTAAAAAAAAAAGTTGCTGTGTTAAATGTTAATCCATTTATGTGGATGATCAACTGCTCTATTTCAGCCAGACAGTTAGTTTTCTGTATGTTTTTAATAATGATGAACCCTGACAAGTAGAACGTTTAGCTAGTAGGTTATTTAAATGAGTAACTGATTCTCTGGCTCAGTGTTCATAGATTCCTGCCAAGTGATTAAAGATGTCCCTCACTTGAAGATTAATCAAGTAATTAATAAATTTTGTACCAAAGTATTTAGAACAAGGTAAAGCACTTTTTAAAAGCACAATAGGATATAAAATGTGCCTTTAAAAAAAGTACATAACTAATAACAAAGAAATAACTCAAGAATGTCATCATTAGCTCCAAAGAATTTCTTAGATCACATACAAAATGGAAATGTTATATAAAATAATGCATAAAACATTACTGAGCCATATAGATATAGTAACCACCTGCACTAAACTTAACCCATGATTTTAATTATCAAACGCTATATCTACGACGACAGCATATTTACATATATCCCACATTTCTCTCCACACCCAAACACACATCATTGACAATGTCTTTTCATAGCCGCTTTAGTATATAGTAGTGTACACTTACATAGTTTTTTGCATATTTTTGTTGTCTAATTTGATCCTCACAACAACCCTATGAGGTAGATGGTACAAACATTATCTTTATTTTATAAGTGAATGGGAGGGAAGGGAAGAACTATTTATATAGCATCTACTATTTGCCAAGTGCTAAGCATATCACATTTGATCCCTCACAACAACCCTGGGAGACAGATACTATCATTACTCCCATTTTATAGTTGGGGAAATGGGGGCAAACAGAGTTTATGTGATTTGTCCAGGGTCACATAGCTTATGAGGGTCTGAGGCTGGATTTGAACTCAGGTCTTCCTGACCTCAGGTCCAGCACTCTATCCACTGCACCACTTAGATGCCTCAAGAAGAAAATAGAAACTAGGTGCTATTATAAGACTTTCTCTCCAGGTCATATGAGGCTACTTGAACCAAGGTACTATGCTGCTTTTCACTGTGACCTAACTATTCATGTGAAAGAACTAAAACTGTCTGCATATAATTCTGTGCTGAGGCACACTGCAAAGTGTCTTAAATCAGGTCCACAACCACCAAAGAGTTGAACAAGGAACACAGGAAAAAACCAAGATGATGAAGAATAACCATCATTTGCACTATTTATGCAGTTGGACTGACATTGGGCTGTCTATATGTCCTGGATAGTCTGTATGTCCCTGAGAAACCCTGCAGATGGACAAAGCATATTTCCTTCTTATCCCTACCTCATAAAATCTCTTCTTTTAAGATGCAGCTTGGGCATTCTCTTCGGCATGAAGCCTTTCCTGATTCTACCCTCGCCCCTAACTGTTAGTGGCTTTCTTCCCAAAGTACTTTGTATTGAGTTACTTTGTAGATACTTTGCTACCTATAATTTTATACATGTATCTTATCTCTCCCATTAGAATGTGAGGAGAGATTGTTTCATTCTCTCTACTTGTATCCTCAGACTCTAGCACATGGTAGGTATTTTATAAATACTTGATTATTAAAGAGCTTGGCAAAGCATCCCACGTTATTTTTATGGAACAGACAGAAAGATATAGGTGAGACGATGGTAAAATTAGATGGATTTGGAACTGTCTGAAGGGATAGACCTTTTAGGTTTGATGTCATATGGAAGAGTAAGAATTACACGTGTTCTGTTGGCTCCTAGAAGGCAAAATTAGGATCACAGATTAAAAACTAGAAGGGAACTTATAGGAAATATAGTCTAATTTACTCTTTTTACAGATAAGGACACTGAAGCCCAGAGATATTAAATTGCCTACTGAATTGTTACTTTCCATATTACTGAAGGTTACACAGGCATTAAGTGACAGAAGTGGAAGCACCTCTGACTCCAAATTCTTCTCACTGACCCACAATGGATGGAAGATGCAAACAAAATTAAACTTGGTGATAGGAAAAAACTTTCTAACAATGAGAGAGCTATTCAAAATGGAATGTAATGCTTAGAAAAGAAGCAAGTTCCCCCTTATGGAAGGTCTTCAAGCAGAGATTGGACAGCCAATGATTGGATATGTTACAGTAGGAAATTTTTTTGTTCGTTTTGGTCATGGGTTGACCTAGATGGTCACTGAGATCCCTTCCAAATCTGAAATTCCATGATCCTGAGTGGGGTATATTACTGGATAGGGATAAGAAAGGGCTGGGTTGCATCTAGGAAATTGTGCAGTAGGTTAAAAAATCTAAAGCTTCTCCCCAAACCAAAAAAATCCCTACCTTTAAATAATAATGCTCATGCAGCAACGCTACATGGCTGAAAGTCACAGAATATCACAATCTGTCAACAATTTAAAAAAGCAGGTGACTCAAAGCACAATGAAGAAACAGACAGTAGGCAAATATAGGCTATGGCATATTACCACTGAAAAATTACATGCAAGAAGTGACATTAATAATATCATCCAAAATATTTGTAACTGGAAAAGTAACATGCATTCATAGTGGCGTCATTTGTTTGCACACGGCATAAACTCCATATACTGGACTATGCAATTAGCAAAACTTAAAATTTGCACAGTCTTTTCTTTTTCAGCATTGAACTCTACTTTAAGTGCTCCAAAATCATTAGTCTTTTTGACGTCTGCAACTGACCACTTAAGTAACCTGTGCTACTTGCTATTTTCAGTATCATGAAATCAAACTTTTGAAAAACATCATAAATTGTAGAAGAGAGAGATTATTGCACACAACAAGAAACTGGTGACAGCTTTGAGGGGCAACATCTGCCAACAGTTCTATTTTTTTCTCTTAATGATTAAAAAGAAAGAATCAGGTCTTTACTCTCCAGTTTCCAGGATTCTACTGATGTCTAACATCTAATGATTATCAGAAAATGGAAAAATCTTATTAGGTCAACTAGTTCACCCCTCTGGAAGCGCTGCCTGAAGCCATAGCAAAATATGCTGGTAGTCAACTCCATTCTCCCTGACATACAGAAACTGATTACAGACCATTTAAGTCACATGTATGAAAATGGAGGGAACTGGGGAGGTCATGTCAGGAAGATATGTAAAATATCTAAAAGAGTTTAGAAGTATCTTTATCAGATCTAAAATAAGTTATTTTAAAACAATCCAATTTGGCTCACAAATTGATTATGAGAAATGAATTGAGGTGGGCAGGGTTTGGGGCCAAAACACTTAAATAAAAGAAAAATAATCTGATACTTGACTATGTATGTATCTAGTTATTTTATCACTCATTTTTTAATTAATTGTTTTAAATTTTTAAATATTTTAACATTTTTATTTAAAGTTTTGAGTTCCAAATTCTATCACTCCCCTTTCCTCACCTCTCTCCTCTCTGAGATGGTAAGCAATCAGATCTAGATAATACATGTGCAATTATGCAAAACATTTCTCTATTAGCCATTTTGTGCAAGAAGACTCAAAAAAAAGAAAAAAAAGATGAAAGAAAGAAAAAAGTGAAAAATAGCATGCTTCAGTCTGTATTCAGTCAATATTAATTCTCTCTCTGGAGATGGATAGTATGCTTCATCATTGGCCTATTGGGATTGTCTTGGATCATTGTTTCACAGTTCTTCATTGAACAATATTGCTGTTACTGCATACAACATTCTCCTGGTTCTTTTCACCTCCCAAGTATCAGTTGATGTAAGTCTTTCCAGGTTTTTCTGAAATCATCCTGCTTGTCATTTCTTATAGGACAATAATATTCCATCACAATCATATACCACAGCTTGTTTAGCCATTTCCCAATTGATGGGCATCCTTTTGATTTCCAATTCTTAGCTACCACAAAAGGAGCTGCTATAAATATTTTTATACAAATAAGTCCTATACCCCTTTTTTGGATGTCTTTGGCATATAGATCTAGCAGCGGTATACCTCAGAGATCTTTTAATTTGCATTTTTCTGATCAATAGATACTTAGAGCATTCTTTCATATGACTATAGATAGCTCTGATTTCTTTATCTGAAAACTGCCTGTTCATAACCTTTGACCATTTATCAATTGGGGAATGGTCTGTATTTTTATAAATTTGACTCAGTTCTCTATATATTTTAGAAATGAGTTCTTTATCAGAGATACTTGTTGCAAATCCCCTCTCCCCTCCTGTTTTTAGTTTTCCTTATAATTTTGGTTGCATTGGTTTTGTTTGGGCAAGCACTTTTAAATTTTATATAATCAAAATTATCTATTTCACATTTTATAATGATCTCTATCTCTTCTTTGGTCATAAATTCTTCCCTTATCCATAGATCTGACAGATAAACTATAATGTAATTTGTACCTAATCTATTCCACTGATCCACCACTCTGTTTCTTAGCCAGTACCCAATTGTTTTGATTAATTACTGCTTTATAATACAGTTTGACGTCTGGTATGGCTAGACCACCTTCTTTCACATTTT